TGGTTAAAATATCTCGCCTTTCCTTTATATTATGTATAGAAGACAGTAATTTTAACACGGTGGCAACCCTACTCAAAAAGTTAAAAGCTTTTGTACATGCGAAGGCTATGCACTTTCATTTGGTATCTCATTTTTTTATCCAACGAACGTTGAGGATCTTATAGTTTTTAAAAAGGTGGCAACCCTACAAAATAATACATTATTACACATCCAGAGGCTAAGTCTTTTCATGTGACAGTGACGGTGCAGAACTGACGCCTACGCTTGTTAGTCATTTTCTTAACAGGTGGCAACCCTATTAAAATTCTAAATTAAAAAGGTCACTCTCCTATCGATACAGAATATATTAGAAAAAAACTCATCAAACTTCGCCGAAGACAGCATTGCTCTTACTTGTTTTTTATACATCCTTTCTCGCATGAGGAAAGGGTTATTTTCTTCTTTGGTTGACATTTGATCAGATTTCATTTAAGTGATGGTTTAATACATATTTCTATTAACTTCTTCTTCATCAATTGCGATTTTATGCCCGCAAGTCCGTTTCAAAATATTGAGATCCACAATTAACTTATAACACTATGCATAATTAAGTTGAGCACATCAGAACAGAAGGTTCTCAACTTTGATTTTTTGATTTTATAAAGCTGAAAACAATTCAATCGAAATTTATTTTCTGATAAATATTTTGAAAAAATCTTCAAATATTTTAGTCGCTTTTCATTGAAGTTAAGTTTTGTGGTGTCCTTACAGCCGATTCTATGCGAAAAGTTCCGCTCCGCCTCATTCAGTATGAACACCTTTTAGATTCGCTTTAGTTCGCCTTGCTTCGCACGGAGCTGCTCGGCATTCTATGGGCTGGTTTCTCCAACTCAACTTAGTTTAGCCATTTTTTGGACATAAGTCAAAAGTTAGCCTACTTTTTATTCTGCTTATTATTGACTAAGTACAAAAAATTGGCTAAGCTAAGTTAAGTTGAGTTGGAAAAACCAGCCCTATCTATTCGTTCCGGTTTTAGTTCAGGACTTAATAAGCTAACCCATCCGCCGCCAGTCTTTTCAGCCAATCTATTGTACCCTCGTCAAAAATATTTTGGAAAAATGTATGTAGGTACAGCTTTCCTTAACTTCTCTCGTATGATGTCCATAATAAAATATTACTTTTAATTTATTAATTGAACTGATTTAACTTTTTTTAATAGGTGACAACTCTCTTAAAAAATATTTTTGAATTAAATATTTCTTAAACCTCTCTTTTGACGCCCCTATCAAAATATTTCATTTAACTTAAAAACTAAATTGATTTTGAAATTCATAACTGGTGGAATTCCTCGTCAAAAACATTTTCCAAATAGTTACAGCATTCTTTAAACCTCTCTCACTTGTTACTTAAATTCATTTAGAATTGCTAAACAGGCTGCCACCTTTTAAAACTATTTCATAAATCTCTCTTGTTTGACATGTATTTATAATAAAATATTTTGTTTAACTAGTCATTAAATTCATTTTAACATTTTAAACAGGCGGCAACCCTATTAGAGAAATGTTTCGAAATAAATCGTATTATGTTCGACACACACATTATTGTGATATTTAATACAGCTTACTTGTAAATTGAATCTCATTTCTTTGACAGGTCGCAACACCGTTTCTTTGACAACCAGATTGTTGTGATATTTTATTTCACTTATTAATTGATTTGTTGAAAGGGTTTTATATTTTTTTCTAGGCTGTTATTACGGTATATTTTTCTCAATGGCATTATACAGCATTTGTAAATATATTACTCAGTAGTTATCCGTTGTTTTTGAAAAAAAAAAACTTTAAATAGGTAGGGAAGAACAGATAGCGGCGGGTCAAAGTGGAGGTATTGAATTTTTAACCTTTTAAAATAAACAAGGATCAATTCTCTAACTTTTCCAAATTTTATAGCCGCAGACACGTCATGACCCGCTAGGTATTGGGTGTAAATAAACTAATACTTAGCCATGTTGGACTGTGACTTTGTTTCGCGAAAATGATCAGCTTTGTTCCCTCTTTCAAAAATATGCCATTGTTATTATTTTGCAAAAACTTTGTTGTACAACTGGCGAAGATTTTTGGTCTCGGCCCAAATCGAAAAACGATTGTTGTGCCCAATTAGAAAAATAACTAATCTTCGTAAATTTGTTTTAATGAGTTTTATGTATTTTTTCTTTGAATTTATATTTTTACCACTTCTTCAAAAGATGCCGATGACACCCACATCAGTGGGCTCAACAACCGGCTCATTGGAGTGTTCGAGAAAAGTATTCTTCGGAACACTTATCTACGGGACCTAGCGTTTTAAATTTATCTTTTAATTTAGTTTGGTTAGGACTTATTATTTAGAATACGGTCAAAAACACTTCTCAAGCAATGCCACTTTTTTCAAATATCTTAACTTGCAGCTTACAGTGCAACTAGAACCATTCAACCATTTTCATGCACAAATCAGACTTCCGTCATTGGGCTAGAAATCTCAACTGTCAACACCGAGACTAGCTTTTCAACACAAATTTTTGAGAAAAATTGCTGAACTCAAATCGGACAACAGAAAAGTTACAGTCAGTTGCATGTTTAAGTGGGAAGCAAGGAAACATTCGTGAGGGAAAAGCTATGTAGGTACGAGTAATATGATAAACTGTCAGCTGCACTGCAGTCGACAACGAAGAATGGGAATGAAGGATGGAAAATAGCCAATAAGTACAAAATTAATCTCAGCTATCTGTAAAAGACACACCAGTCGCCTAGTAGTGAGTTGTTTTGGTGAAGTGGAAAGCAGAACAGCAAGCAAGACATACAGAGCCAACGTGCTGGGTAAGGAAACGATAGTTAAATTTGTAAGATGGCAAGCGAAATCTTGCAAACTGACTGCAACAATGTCAACGTCAATTACAACACCGAAAAAAAGTGGCAAGAATGGTGTCAGTAGCGCGAGAAGCATTTACTGTTGCCATTGCCGATGTTTAATTTAGCTGTTGGCATTGGAGCTGCACCTATTGGTACTGGCTGGCAATGCGTACCATATATGTCCGGGGGTGGCAGGAGCTTGGGTGTGGTGGCGGCAGTGAGAACAACGCAGTGCGGAACGCAGCTGTTGTTGGCCAACTATGGAAAATTAGATTTTTTTCTACCAATATTGTGCGGCAATTTATAACGGAATGCAAAATGGTCGTTTTCGAGGGCTTACAAATTTTATTTGAATTCATTCACTAAAATCGCTTGAATATTTTGCAGCTGTGTTTACAGAGTTCGTGCAATTGCAGTGCTGATATTCGTATATTTTTTAAATTTTATGCTCAAATTTTTTCAAACATTTAAATTTAAACGGGTATAAATATGTACATATATAACCTAGGTGCGCCATAACCGAGTGATGAAATATTAGTATAGAACATTCATTGTAGGTATAATGCTTGCGACAGCACTCATCGTGAACCTTAGGCAAAAGTGGTAAGCTCTGATAAGGGTTTGACATCTTCCTGGTTGGTGTGGTCATCCCATTCCACTGAAAATTAAGAATTTTGAAATTTCTCGGCACTTATAAAGGTAGAGGACTTAAAAGTGGATCTAGCAGAAGGTAGTCATGTTCAAAAGACTCTCTTACTACTTACTAGTCTTACTTAGTCAAAAGTCTGCAAAAACGACCCTCGAAGATGAAGAAACGCAAAGAGCAGCAACCGACAAAATTGGCAAAACTACGAAGTTTCTAACTTATTATATTCAGAATAAGTGTATGCAAACCTGAATGTAGCTAATACCGAAAGCTACTGCATTTTGGTAGACAAAGGACATCACCATCCGTCTTAGCTGAATATGAGTATATGCGAGGCTTGTACGCACAAGAATGCGAAATGGCAAGGAAGAAACTTAAGACCTCCATAATGATAGAAAAATTGGGGAAAAGCTGCGTAACGACGTTAACAACGACACCTGGGATCTCGGGTATAACGTTCCCGGCAAAACTCGGAGTCATGGCATCTAACGCTGCAGCGCGCGTTAACAGGTTTAACCCTCCGTTGTGTGATGTGGCCTACGCAGGCCATTTAGATTTTCAAAGATGTATATCTTCTTTCTTCGTTAAGTCTTTAGAATCGGCGACAATATACCATACCCGTCGACGACGTGGACAGTCTGTGAATTCTACAATCATTGCCGGCGGACGGATATGGAAAATAATCGGTTTTATAAAAAAACTTCATTTTCTGTCGTAGTGGAAGTATGCAGTCTTACAAAGTACAAAATCTTTAGTTACTAGAAAATCGGATTGATTTTTGGGAATTTTTTTTTAACGCAGGTTCTTCCAAACAAAGTATGTTCGACAATTAATTTTTGTATGAAGAAAATGAGCACCACGTTCTACAGATAAGATATCCACGGTGTGGAAATCAAAAGCCACACTTGAAACGTCTGTCTAGCCGCAGGACCAACAACTACATGAACAGTTTTTATATTTTAAGTTTTATATATGAATTTTGCACAGTAATTAGTAAAAAAAAAAATTTAAAAAGTTACTTTTTATCTCTTCTCTTACAACTATCTATATACCAATTTTTGGGGTCAAAGGGTATTGGCACTTAAAAAGGGCCAAATTGCCCCTTTAGTCGCACAACGGCAACACTGCTGAGAAAGTGCTTTCGATCACAACTTCGTCGATTTTGTTTTTAGTTTTGCGGTCCGGGGCATCCACGTAGCCTGGTGAATATTTTTAAGCTAGAACAATATTCTAAATGGAAATGTAAATATAAAATACTTTGCCAGACCGCAAAAATATATTGGCCAAATAATTTTTATAAATAAAAATTGCAAGCACTTAGGTATGGTCTTATTCATAAAAAATATCGTATGTTCAAACAGTTTTATAAATTAATGTTTTCATAAATTTTTCAATTTCTAAAAAAATTATTAAAGCTACTTTAATTTTTATGAATAAGGCTATTAATATATCTCGATAGAAAGTAAATTTTATGTGTTAAGTGTTTTCTTCTCAAACTTTATTATATAGTTGGTTACATTTTAATAATCAATATTACATTCTCAACTGACTATCTTACTAAAATGGAAAAGTTTGTTCTTAAAGTAATATGAATAAAAAATTACCGAGCTACGAGAACTTTACCAATCATCGCCTCTTAGATTTTCATACTGATTGCAATAGGATAAAATCTCGTTGTAGCTGCATCCTTTGTTGCAACATTCATCATACACTCCTTGACGGCGACGACGTGTCTTGGCTAGCGTGTCAACTTGGCCGCCATGAATCTTTCCTAAGAAAGGTGAATTCGCATAGGGAAATGGCAACTCCTCTATCAGCTCATTGGCGCCATGTTCATCCCATTCTACTGTAATTGGATTGGTTTTTATTTCTTATTTTTTAGTACTTTTTATGGAAATGAGATACACAAACCTTGAAAATATGCATTATTTAATAGTACTCACGAGATTTTTTAAATTTCGTATTGAATCCATGCACACAAAGTGTGCTGAGTACCGCATCCAAAGCGGGGCCGCATACGGTTCGTCGAGCAGTTATTTGTTGCAAACTTGCTGCTAAAACAAGCAACAAAGCGCAGATTTTAAATAAACTTAGCGGCATTATTTTAAGATTATTTCGTATGTATGTATATTCTCAATTATTTTGTAACGCAAATTAATCTTAGGGGATTGGAAAAGCAACTGCTGAAATTTGCAGTTTCTGACTCCGCTTTTATACCACAAAGTTTTCGAAAACAGTTCAAGCGCTGGATTATTTTGATGCCTACACGTGTTAGCATCTGTCAATTTAATTAGTTTCACAGTTTTCTGCCTGCAAAGTAAACATGAATGTGAAATAAGTATGTTGCATATTTATGAGCGCAGAAGTGGGTATGGGAATATATTATTGTGAAAGATTAGCGGCGCTTCATAAACACATATGTGCATTTGCATGTATGTGTAGCAAAATATGTCCGAGTATAGGTTGTACGTATTCAGCTTATTCGCGGTGAGAGCGGGAAGCCTTGGATTCAGTGTTGCCAAACATGGGCTTTTCCTACCAAAACTGGTAGGTTGGTAGGCTAGATTGAATTTTGGTAGATTCCGTGACAATAATAGTTATTTGCGAAAAATATAAAATATGTATATCCAAATATTTTAGAAATATTGTTTGCACGAATATTTCACCGGTGCCTTCGAATAACGGCAACCGCGAAAATCTAAAAGTAAGTACAATATTGACAATATAAAATATGTACATCCAAGGTATATACTTTATGTGCCTACAACTTAGATTCAAGTTAACTCAACTATAAACTAAATATGTATGTACATATATGTATGTCCTGAAGACTGCTGTGTTGAAAAGGGCTGGTCAGTAAACTCACTGAAGTCCACCTGAGACAGATACTTCGTGGTAAGACTTGGGGAATATCACCAAAACTAACATATTGGTCTTTCAATATGGTAGTAAGAGCCGTTGTCACATATGTGGCACTGGCCTGATGGCCAAAAGCTAAGCAAGTAAAGGCGGATGCCACTTTGAGCAAGCTGCGCCAATCGGTCCAACGAATGCCCTTTATATCATTACAGACATTCCTCCTTTGTCTATTCTGTTTGAAAAAGAGGCCTGCTGAAGCGCTCTACAACTGCCAAATATAATCAGCAAGAAAGTTGGAGACCTTCTGGGTCATTCTCAAGGCAGGTTCTGACCCTACAAGGTACCAGAATTCCTGAAAAGGACTGCTGTGAACTGATAACAACTATGATTGACGAAGGGTCCCAAGTATGGTATACCGACGAATCAAAGATGGAACAAGATTCAGCAAAAGTCTGCTAATTTGCACATACCCAACTATATTTCAGCCTGAAGTCTTCACAGTCGAGGTCTGCGTAGAAGGGCAAATGGGACCAAAATAATTATAATATCAGATAGTCAGACATGTTAAAGGTCTTAGATTCTTTTAAAACGGCATCTCTTGAACCACTTGGAGGCCCACAATAGAGTAATTCTGCGGTGGGTTCCGGGACATGAAGGGTTTGAAGGCAGCTAAAGGGCTGACTGTCTCCAAAACCTGGAGCCTAAAAGCGCTTGCATGGTCCATAGCCTTTGCGAGCTGGACTGCCCACGTATCATAAATATCAGACTGATACACCTTAGGGAACGATTGTCTTCTTCATCCAAAATTTGAAACATGGCGCCCTCCAAAGTACATAACTCCTTAAATAGCCTAAGGTTGAAGTGATTAAAAATAGGGTTAAGCACAATATATCTTCTAATAATAGTGATAATAATAATAATAATAAAACAATAATATGTATGTGTAAAGAGACAAACATGTGTGTAAGTCTGTATAGTAAATGAACTGTTATACGTAGTTAATTGGTTTTTGTTGTACTAGCTGTGTTTTAGTTTTACGTAATGTTATGTTATCTACATTTTTAATAAACTTGGCATTGGATAAACAACTTAAAAATATTCAAAAAGTTTTGGTAGGTTTTGGTTGGTCTTGGTAGAAAAAAAAAATTTAGTCGTGGTAACATTGCTTGGATACTATATTTGAAGCTGGTAAGAGAGCGAGAGCAGCAAGGGAAAGAACCATGGAATTTTAATCTTAGTACAGATAGCATGAGTACTAGAAAAGTCTGAAGAAAAAGCAACATGTGCCTATGCATTAGCAAGTTCTTTTGTGACCAGAAAAGAAAAGTGGACATAGAGGTTTCCTGCTTTTCTAAAAATAGCCAAAACTAGTTGCGCGACTCAGTTTTTTGCAATAAACAGTACTCTCAGGCCTTTTGTTCATGCCCTTATGTAAATATAGTGCTTATCATAAATATACGACACCCACATTTTGATAATTAATTTTATTATTGTTTAATTTGAAATATTTTTTATGTGTTTTCTTTAACAAAAACCGTATAAATCGAAGCTTCAAACTTTGAGCAATATTAACATAAACAAACTCGTATAAATTTCGAGCTTTTAATTAGATTTCCTACATAAATTCTCTTCCATACTAAGTATATTCGCCGATATTTTTATACTGGATACGAATTGTTGAAAAGTAGTACATATGTATTCGAAGTAGAATTTGGGCATAAAATAAAGATTATGAAGTTACGAAATTTTTGGAAAATGGCGTGGCACCGCCCACTTATGAAGAATTGCTGTAACTCCGTAGCCGCTTCACCAATCCCTACGAACATTGCTTAGGGTGAAAATACCAAACCTTTTAACAACTCCTACCTCCCATATAATAAAACTACTTTGGCAGTAAATGACATTTTTGCACAGTTCTGGATAATAGGCATGGCACCGCCCACTTTTGACTACATGTGTATTTCGCTCACCGATTTAATAATATCTAACAAAATCAGTTCAAAAATCAGTATGATGAAATTTTTGAAATAGGGAATTGGAAAATTGACGTAGCTCCGCCTACTTATGGCAACATACATAAGTGCAACCCGTTTAGCGCTTTATCGATTTCTGCCAAATTCGGTTATATTATTTCCCTAAGGCCCGGTTTCTCGACTGCCTGCTAAAAATTGACGGCCGGTCTGCTTTATCGACTTTTTATCGATTGCCTGTTATAAGCATGTTAGTGACAGATTTGACAGGTAGTCAACGCGCGGGTTATCTTTAACAGGAATTTTAGAAAACGGCCCAAAGTCTAATTGAGCATATTATCGCAAACGTTTGAAATAGGGGGAAAACATCCTTTCATGTTTTGCAGATAAAAAAAGGTGAAAAAACCCCGGTGTGCGCCTGGTTTTTTCATACCTTTTTTACCAGTTAAAGGGCTGTTTGAAGCTCTCAAGGAGAATCAAAAGAAATCTTTTTCATTATTTCTGTTGCTTGAAAATTACGTTGCTTTCGCCATAAATTTTCTTGAAGAAAGAAATATACGAGCCAAGGCTGTTGTTTCAGCAGCTGTGAATAGTGTGTGATTGTCAAAATTTTGTATTTCACTAGTGAGTGAGTGAAACCGTGAGAGCGATTGTATTTTCTGTCGTCCGTTTTCCTTAAGGGAAGAATAGCTGAAATTCGACAATGGTCTACTAAAAGCAAAACCAATATACAAGTGATTTTTGTAGATATTTGTTTATCGATACCACCTTAAATGAATTCGCCTTGATACGAGCATTTGTTTCTTGAGAGCTGTAGACTGATCTAAGAAATTTTGATAGAAGAAAATTCATATGAAATTTTCGTCCATCATTGGAGGGGCGTACATTTTTACGCCGACTCGGAACGGTGCTTGTATTTTTATGAGAAGCTTTTCTTCATGGCAAAATACACTCGGAGGTTCGCCGAGAGGCGACCGCTATCAGATAAAAATTTTTTGTTTTATTTTTTAATGTACATATTTATATACATACATTTAATTATCTCGAGTAAATGCTCACTAAGAAAATAAAATTCCATTTATTTTACGCATGAATCCATGAAATATGCAGCTGATATTTCACCATATAAGTTAAGAATACGACTATATTTAATAGAAAAATCTTGCTTAATTTTTTTATACATAACAAGAAAACTTCCAAAAAATTATCTCTCGCAGTTAAACGATATAAGTGCCTGTAATTAAAATTTTCTTCAGCGAAACTGGAATTGTTCTTCGTCGGCAATCCGTTGAATCCTACAGATCTAACAGAAAAATTTATTTGCAATACGAATATAACTCATTGTAGGTACAACTTTTGCGGCAACATTCGTCGTATACACCCTCACGACGGCGACGAGTCTTAGCCAATGTGTCAACTTGGCCGCCATGAATCTTAGCTAGGTAGGGAAAGGACGCCGCATAGCGTGAGGGAAGTTCATCTTCAAGCTCAGCGTGGCCAAGGTTGTCCCATTCCACTAAAATTTCATAATTTTATATTTTTATACATATGTAAATAAAAAAGAAAAATTAAATTTGATTGCTGCAAATTGTATTTTATATGCAAGTGCCTGTACTTACATGACTTCTTAAATTTTGTATTGAAACCATTTTCGCAAATAGTGTCTAGTACAGCATCTATTGCTGGCCCACAGACTGTTCTTTGGGCACTAATTTGCTGCAAAAATGCAAATGAAAGAAGCAGCGAAGCGCAGATTTTGAAAAGATTCAGCAACATTGTAGTTAATTTGTAAAATTTATGATTAATAAGGAAGTCTATTGAGCTCCGGTTCTGTTGGAGGCAACTTATTGTGGAAGCTGTGCAAAATTACTGTTGGAATTTGCAGTTTCTTAGAGTGCTTTTATACTGGCGAATATGCAAGGTACTATAATAACCATAAACAAAAGCAAAAATGTATGGTATGACGCTTTATCCGACTTTCTCTGTTTTCAGTTTCTAAAGCAATTGGGGTAGTAAAGGAATATATAAATATCTTTTTGTATTTACATACATATATGCGCTTATGCATTAATAAGTTGCATATTTAGCACGTAGGGGATGAACACAAATCTATATTGGTTTATTCGACACATGCATACATTCAGACATGCATATCGTGGTTCAAAGTACAAAACCGCGTATCAACAAAATGCAAAACCGCGCATCAACAAAACTGCGTATGTGAGGTTGCATACATTATTTTATAGAGAGTAAAAACAGTCATATTTCAAAATGGTTCTCTTTCTTTCTAAAGCAATCGCATTTCTGACTAGTATATTTCAGGACGAATGGATAAGCATTGAGCCAAGAGCTTGTGTGAGCAAATCTAATATTTGGCAGCCAATGTCAGTTACGCGGTTTTGTACTTTAAACGACGATATGTATGTACATTAGGGCGGGTCAATTTGTTCTTAGAAAATATAACCGACT